TGAAGTCATGTTGGAGGGAGGGAGGAGGGGTACAACATGGGATAGGTAACAGGAAGGAAGGGGTGGATGAGGCCATATAAGGCCTAAAAGATGGGTTCCCAAGGACACCCTGAGTCAGGGTGGGCTAGGGAACAATAGTAGCCCAAGCGTTATTAAATAGCCAATAACGCAGGGGCTAGGTTGGAGTGTGCAGGTACACGGTCCGTGAGGATGACAGCTACTTGATTGAGAGAAGGTAGCAAGGTCCCGGTAGAAAAAAAAGCAAAAAAAACAACAGGTACATAAAGAAAATACATTCGTAAAGATCACGCTAACCCAAACTCAGACGGCATTAGCAGTATCAGTGAGACATCATAGGGGAAGGGGTGTGGCGTCACATGCCGTCAGAGCCTAGGTTCCCAAACAAACTGACCTAAAGTGGGGCTCTGAAGAGGGGAGGAGCCGAATAATTCCCAGGTGATGGGACAACCAAAATTTAACAGATAAAGGGAGAGAGGATATTGACGGTATTAACCGCACCGACAGTAATAACAGTCAAAGGCATACACCGTTTGGTGTGTGTGGCCAAAATAAAGTGGAGAGAAGAAGGATAAACATGAGACACAGTTCAGTCCATGGTATCTTGTGAAGATAGACCCGGAGATGAAAAGCGGCCTCGTTTGTGGAGATTGAGTGGGCCTGCAGTGGCACGCGTGGGGAGGGACTTCCACGGTGAGCAGGATGTGGACCTCCGCTTGGTGCTCTCTGAAGGCGTCGCTGAGGAGTGCAATTGTAAGATCCGCAGGGTGTCTAGTAGGTCTTCTGGGGTCTTACAGGTGTAATCCCGGGATTGGTAACGGAATCGCACTGCAAAGGGGAAGCTCCACCGATACGGTATAACGTGTTGTTGAAGTTCCTATAGGTGGGGTTTCATAGCCTTGCGCTTGGTGATTGTTGTGGGGCTCAAATCTTGAAATAACTGGTATGAATGACCTTGGAATTGTAGAGATTCTGCGTTACGTGCAACTTGTAATAGTTGTTCCTTAGTGCGGAAAAAGTGGAGCTTGGCTATAATGTCACGTGGTGTACCATCCGTGCGTCGTAGTGCTAACGCCCTGTGTACTCTATCCAATTCCAATCTTTCGATTGGGATAGCTGGGGCAAGCTCTTGGAACAGAGCAGTTACTGTTGATTGGAGATCGACGATCGTTTCCGGGAGGCCACGAATACGCAGATTTGAGCATCGTGCTCGGTTTTCAAAGTCCTCCAGTCGTGTCAATAGTGTTGCGTTTTTCGTCGCGCAGATGGTCAAGGTCATCCGTATGTGTCTGAAGCGTGGCATCAAGACCATCTACCCTCTGTTCTAGGTCTGCAGTGCATTGCCCCAGTTCACGGATTTCCCTAGATAGCGTAGCAGTGATGCGGTCCGAGGTTTGCTTCAAAGCTTTGTGTAGCATTTGTTCACAAAGCGAGTTAACAGGTCAGGGGTTGTAAAGTCAGGCGTCAGGGCTTGTGTAGGGACATCTGTTTCAGTGTCAGACTCACCCTCAGACGTGCAGGGATGGCTGGGCTGCGGACCCTGTAGGGCTGCATATGCATTTGTCCCCTTCTTGCTTCCATTTGCTGGGGTGGTGGCCATCTTTGTGGAGGCCTTTGCCAGGGCCTCCTTGATTAATTTTGTAGAAGGGGGGACCTGGTGCCGGGGTGCACCCTTAACCATTTTGTGGCCTGTCAGTCGGGGGGCTGTTATGGTGTTCTCAGCCCCCCTTTTCTTTTCTCTCTCTCCTGCCCAGGTTCAGTATGGGCTGGGGTGGGCGGGCCTGTGCGGCGCTTGCCGCTGGGACATGTGTCCCGTCGGATTACTCCGACTTACTGCAAGGGATCCGCCGCAGATCAAGGCGGATCGGTCCCTGGGAGGGTTGCCTCTTCGGTCGGGTCCCCCTGGGATATGTTGCGGGCGGACCCGCTGCTATGCGGCGCTTGTCCGTCACGACGGGGGAGACTCCAGCGTGATGTCCGCCCCGCCGGCCGCGCAGCACCAGTGAGCAGCCCAGGTATTTTCAAATGCAAAATAGCAGAGGGCAGCAGATATCTACATAGTTATCTATGCGCAAAGTCAAGTATGCTTCCAAAAAGAAAAAAAACACCAAAATAATCAATATAATATAATATAATATAAGGGGGTTAGAGCATTGTGCACATAAACTTATACAGTAGCTTAAAAAAATATCTGCTTTAGGCATCTCTGCCCTTTTTATTTACTAACCTGTACCATGCAGTAGAAATGGAGGTAAGGGTGTTCAGGTCCTAAATAGCTTCCATATATACAAAACATCACATAACTGTTACATATAGCCAACTTCTATCCATAAAATAGGGATCCTTATGCAGGCCATAGATGGGGAGAAAAACTGCAGATTTTTCTTTTAAAAAACGAAAAATCGGTCGTTCAAGTGGCCGACGTTACCATCAATGGTAAAAAAAATCGGCCGATTTTCTACCCGTCTAGAGCCGGCAAAAAGTGTCCCTGCAGAGAGCTCTGCTATTTCTTTGACAGTTCTCTGACAGTTCCTTGACATTTATAGAAGTTGCAACAATGTATCTATTTGTTTCCATTTAGGATACAGATGTTTTTATTCGGAAACAAATAGATACAATGTTGCAACCGCTGTAAATGTCAAAGAACTGTCAGAGAACTGTCAGAAATAGCGGAGCTCTCTGCAGAGACACTTTTTGCTGGACTGGAATTCTTCTTATTTTCACCCTACTTCTTCTTCTTCTTCATCCTCATCCTCTTCTTCTTCATCCTCTTCTTCTTCATCATCCTCATCCTCTTCTTCTTCTTCATCCTCATCCTCTTCTTCCTCATCCTCATCCTCTTCTTCTTCATCATCCTCACCCTCTTCTTCATCATCCTCTTCTTCTTCTTCTTCTCATCCTCATCCTCATCCTCTTCCTTCCTCATCCTCTTCTTCTTCTTCATCCTCATCCTCTTCATCCTCATCTTCATCCTCATCCTCTTCTTCATCCTCCCTCTTCATCCTCATCCTCTTCTTCTTCATCATCCTCATCTTCTTCATCATCCTCATCCTCTTCTTCTTCTTCATCCTCATCTCTCATCTCTCATCCTCATCCTCTTCCTCTTCTTCTTCTTCATCCTCATCCTCTTCTTCATCATCTTCTCCTCATCCTCTTCTTCCTCATCCTCTTCTTCTTCTTCTTCTTCATCCTCATCTTCTTCATCCTCTTCTTCTTCCTCTTTCTTCTTCTTCATCCTCTTCCTCTTCTTCTTTTTCTTCTTTTGTCTTCCTCTTGCAGGTCACTGCTCATGCGCAGATTTTTTATCGGTAAAAGATCGGCCGATTTGCCCACTAATTGCCGCAAAAATCGGCCGATCGGTAAAATCGGCCGATTTTTTTTCCAACTTTACCGAAAAAAAAAAACGGCCAAAATACCAAAAAACGGCCGACCAAATCGCCCACTAACGATCCGAAAATCGGCCGATTTTATTTTCGGCCGAAAAATCGGCCGATTTTCGACCCATCTATGGCCTGCATTAGTTAGCATATATTGTAATACATGTTCTAGCATAGATAACTAATATACACTCACCGACTAATTTATTAGGTACACCTGTTTAATTGCTTGGTAACACAAATTGCTAATCAGCCAATCACATAGTAGCAGCTCAGTGCATTTAGGTATCTGGACATGCTGAAGACAACTTGCTGAAGTTCAAAGTGAGCATCAGAATGGGAAGGAAAGGGGATATAAGCAACTTTGAACATGGCATGGTTATTAGTGCCACACGGGCTGGTCTGAGTATTTTAAAAAGTGCTGATCTACTGGGATTTTCACGCACAGCCATCTCTAGGGTTTACAGAGAATGGTCCGGAAAAGAGAAAATATTCAGTGAGTGGCAGTTGTGTGGACGAAAATGCCTTGTTGATGTCAGAGGTCAGAGGATAATGGGCAGATTGGTTCAGCTATGACATTTAGATGATAGGGTCAGAATTTGGCGTAAACAACATGAAAGCATGAATCCATCCTGCCTTGTATCAACGTTCAGGCTGGTGGGGGTGGTGTAATGGTGTGGTTGATATTTTCTTGGCACTAGCATGGTGTACCTAATAAAGTGGCCAGTGTGTGTGTATATATATATATATATATGTATGTATATATACATATGTATACTTTTTTTGTGGTAACATTATTTTGCATTTTTTTTGTCTCCTGTTGAATACCACAATGAAAGGTTTCATACGTGTAAGCACAATATTAAAGCCATCAAATAAAATACAGTTTTTTTTAAGGAACTTAAAATATCTCCTAAATTATGTGGATGTTAACTATGAAATATTTCCATCTTATTCCTTGACCTACTTACCTCTGTGACTTGAGACATCATTATGCATCATACCTTGGTCTTTATTCTTTCTGTACTCTGTGCAGGTAACATATGCTGTTATGTTAAGCACATCATTTCTGCCCTAGAGTGTAAGATGTCATACTACTTGTACATCATTATACATATAACCTTCAAATTGCATTAACAATGCCCACTATTACTTGGTTTCTGATGTGACCTTTTCTTTAAGTCTCTTTCTGAAGAAGAAAAAAGGATGCCCAACCTACCAACCTAACAATGTAAGTATGAATATATATATATATATATATATATATATATATATATATATGTATATATATTTAGGAATAGGCATTTCAAGGAATCGGCTAGTTCTAGCTCATAGTATTTTTTTTATTGCTCCAGCAAATAGGGTAGCAAAACCAAAGTTTCCCACGCAGGGATGTATTGAGTAAAATACAGCAAACCCAAAGGACAGTTTCCTTCTCGTGTATCTCTCTCATGTGTCTCTTTTCACTTTAGTAGAGAGTTCTCGCAAACTATTTTTCTCTGTTTTTACTCTTCCTCAGGCAGAGCTTTGGCCCATTTAGACATTCAGACTAAAGCTGATGCATGCCCAATATGTTCCTCTCGCACAATCTCTCTACAGCACCACCCAAGACAGGACCAACTGTTTATATTCAGCCTTTTCTATATCTAAGCCAAACACACCTATCCTCAACTGACCTATTTGTTTATGAATGTTAAGCTACAGGGGTGGACTAACAACTCATGGGGCCCCCGGGCAATAGGGGATCATGGGGCCCCTGTGTCCTTGCCCAAACTCAAAAAAGCCTATGAAAAAGGTACCAGGGACATCTCATGGGGCCCCCTACTGACCCCGGGCCCTCGGGCAGTGCCTGATTTTCCAAATGGTCAGTCGGCTCCTGTTAAGCTACACATTTTTCTGATAAAACTGCTCTTTTAGTGTCACCTACTACATCTACTGTGGCTTTTCCAACGCCCCGTCATAATTATAATATTATGACAGATGGCTGGTTTGTCATTGTGTAAAGATGTATATAATATCACTATGTCCCATTACACCAACAATAAGTGCTAGGCCTGCAGGAACCACCAATCACTTATATGTAAAAACCTCTCCATCACATCTTTCCAGGCAATATTCAGGATGACCAGACTAAGTAACTGCCCGCTCTCTATGATGACATAATTGGAAAGTTATCCCACTACTCCTCTTCTACCACTTCTGGCAACCTTCAAGGTTCAAGGTGGATTTCGACGGGGTTAGTGAGAGATATTAATTATGGATGGCTTGAGCAGAAAGAATGATATAGTTTTTTATTCATTCTGAAAACAGCATGTTTGTTTGAAAAAAGTTGACTTAGACTTTAATCGCTTTCCCATCACCCGATAGTAGAACTACTGCTACAAAATCACATATATACATATATTTCTGGGTAGGAGGTGCTTGTGTGTGCCCTACCCATGCCACCATTGGTGGCTAGCAAAGTCAGGGAAAGCTGACAGGGGAGTGACCTGTGTGTAAACAACACAGGTCTCTCTCCTGCCAGCAAGGACATGTTGCTTTGTATTTCTCTGAACAGCAGAGAAATACAAAGCAGCATGTCTCCCTAATAAAAACACACACAGCACATAATGTGAAAAAGCACACAGACACATGGTTAACCCTTTGATTGCCCCAGATGTAAACCCCTTTCTGTCCAGTGTCATTAGTACAGTGTCAGTGCTTTTAATTAGCACTGATCAACGTATTACTTTCATTGGGATGTCAGTGGCAGTTAGTCAGTTCCCACCAAGTATCAGAATGCCTTCTGCAGTCTCACAGTCCTGCTATAACTCACTGATTGCTGCCATTACTAGTATAAAAATAAAAAATTCCAGTATATACAGTGCCATTTCTAGACACTATAACTTTCACGTAAACTAATTAATTTACACGTATTGGGATTTTGTTTAGCAAAGACATGTTGCAGAATACATTTTGGCCTAAATTCATGAAGATATTAGATTTTTAAAAATTTTTTTACTGGATATGTTTTAATAGCAAAAAGTAAAAAAAATTTTTTTTCAATCAAAATTGTCAGTTTTTTTTTGTTTACAGTGCAAAAATTAAAAATGCAGAGCTGATCAAATACCACCAAAAGAAAACTCTATTTGTGGGAAAAAAGGACCTAAATTTCATTTATGTACAGTGTTGCATGACCGTGCAATGTTTAATACAAAAAAGTCCAAAAATATTGTTTTTTTTTTCCTAAAATTGTTGGTAATTTTTTTGTTTATAGCGCAAAAAATAAAAAACACAGAGGCGATCAAATAGCAGCAAAAGAAAGGGACATACATTTAATTTGGGTGCAGCTTTGCATGACCACACAATTGTAAGTTAAAGTAACGCAGTGCTGTATTGAAAAAAATGGCCTGGTCAGGAAGGGGAGTAAATCCTCTGGAGGGCAATTGGTTAAAGCGATGTTATAGCATATTGCCAATCCTTATGCTATATGCTTATGCTTAACCTCCCTATGATCTATGTGATCAAATAAAGTACTCTTTGCAATTACTAAATTTATATTACTCCGCGTGGATTTTTAAGTAACCACTTTCCTTTTGGGTGGTGTTGCTCTTGTCACACTACCATATTTTCTATTATGTATTTTCAGGTTTATAAATCCACACTTCTATGATAAGTGAGTCGGAGATAGCATTAGGACACAAACTATCTGTGTCACTTCAGGTGGCTTTTTTCTGTTCTATTTTTGTGTTATATATTCTTAAAGGTTATTATAACCTGTTCTGCCACCTATTGGAGGTTTGAATGCTGTTTAGGCACTTGCACGGTGAACATTGACTGCTGGATAAACAATAACCCTCTGACTTAACTTAAAGGAAAGGGTGGGGGAAAAATGGCCTATCAGATTAATGAGGAAATGGATGCAGAAATTAGATCTGCATTTACAAAGAACTTCGATTCTCAGACGGATGGAAATGAGGGGGACATCAGAGCTAAGTTTAAACTACATAAGAAATGAACTACTAAATATTTAAATAGAAAGTGGGATATTACATCCCTGGAATCCTATATAGAGAGAGGGATTGTCCCCAGGGGATTAAGGGAGAGAGTAATTCCAGCAGAACATCTTCACACCTCTAGATTTCTGGAAGGGTGGAAGGAGGTCTGCATAAAGCATGGCATTGAGATCATGCGATTAATTGAGGAAGAGGAGAGGGTCCAATTAAATGAACTCTCTAAAGAAATTCATGAAAGTGCTAAATCCCTTGATCCCCTGAAGGAGAATCCCGAGTTTGAGAAATATAATGATCTCCTTAGAAGGGAGATGGAAAAAAAAAATACAAAAAAATGTGAAACTCACTAAACAACAAAAATTCAGAAGAGATCTTGAGGATTGGGAGAAAGGTGAAATATTCGATCTATCTAATAATAGAGGAAGGAGTCGTTCTAAACGTAAGAGATTTTTCTCTAGGAATAATAGACAATACTCGTCAATGAGTGAGGATGATGATGAAACTAACAAGAGATCTGTTAGTTTTTTTTAGAGGAAAAAACGGTAGGCGAGAATCAGGGTATATTAAAACAGACAAACAAGCAAATAAATGCGACGAAGGAAGAAAGAAATGTCACTGCTACTCAAAAACCGCTCAACCAAAATCGGACCAGGAGCCACAAGAGGTAAAAGATAATTCAGAGGAGAGAAGTAACGACCTGAAGGTAATAAATTTATCTAAGTTTGTGTTGAAAAAAAGACACTATGACTTACTACGAAAAGGCCTGACCTTTTCTCCCACGGATAAAATGGACGTTTTTGAGGTCTATAAAGACTTAAATCTATTTCTGAGAAAGATTCTTTTAAAAATCCCGTTTTTGCCAAGAGAGGAACAGAATCCTTATGCCCTAGACTCAGAAAGGGAACAACAGGCATTAAGTGACCCCCTACGTCTTTTGGAGGAGACCCCTATGTTAGGTGAGACTGGGGAAAAATGTGTTTCAAATAAGTGGAAAAGACACACTAGATTAAAAACCCGATCTAGAAGGATGCCTAATATCAGGGAAAATAAATGGTTAAGTACCTTTCTGGATCTGGTACATGAGGACCCTAGTAAAATTAACTGGACAATGAGGAATCCTGATAACCTCACTCAAGGTGAAAGAATAGCACTTAGGGAACTAAAAAATGCTAAAAATATTGTGATCAAGAAGAGCGATAAAGGGGGAAATGTAGTATTATTGGAAAGTGATGAATATGAGAAGGAGGTACTGAGACAGCTGAGGGACCCCAATATATACTGTAAACTCTACACGAATCCCTTCCCTAAATTGGTTGCTGCTCTGAACAAAAAAGTGGAATTGGCGCGAGAAGTAAACCTTTTAACCAAACAAGAAGGAGATATGCTGACAGTAGATGTCTATAATATCCCCACTTTCTATGTAATCCCAAAAATACATAAAAACCCTACCCAACCACCGGGACGCCCGATAGTATCTGCCATTAAAGGCCCGCTGGAATTAATTGGTAGGTTTGTGGATGATCTTATTAAGGACTTGGTCCTTGAACTTAGATCTTATGTAAGGGATACGGGTGATGTATTGAAAAAAACTGTAAACTTCAAAGTACCTGAGGGGGCACTTTTGGTTGGCATAGATGTGGAATCACTGTATACTTCTATCTCACATATTTGGGGTTTGAGAGCTGTGGCTTTCTTCCTTGAGACATATTTTCCCGAAATGGAAGCTCAGAATGAATTCATTCTGGACCTTCTGGAATTCATGCTGGCCCATAATTGCTTCCAGTTCTTGGGTTCCTTTTATAAGCAAAATATGCGGTACCTCTATGGGAGCACCCTGGGCCCCGGCATTTGCATGTCTGCATTTAGGCTTATGGGAAGAAGAGTTGGTTTATCCATCTACTCCCTTCAAGCAACATGTGGTGAAATGGCTGCGGTACATTGATGACGTCCTTATGGTGTGGGACGGTGGTATTGATCAGCTGGAAAACTTCATGGGATCCCTAAATGAGAACGATAGAAATATCAGACTAACCTATATAGTAGATAGAGAGGTAATATCATTTTTGGACCTATCAATCTCAATATATAAGAATAGATTAGTCACTAAAACATTCAGAAAGGAAACGGCGGCTAATACACTTCTGCATGCTAGTAGTTACCATCCAAGGAGTTTAAAACAGGGCATACCTATTGGTCAGTTTCAGAGAATAAAAAGGAACTGTACAGAAGAAGCTCAATATAGAAATGAATCTATTCAGCTCTATAAGAGATTTAGGGAAAGGGGGTATTCACATAGAACCCTAAGAAGAGCTAAACGAAGAGCCTCAGGTAGAACGAGAGAGGAATTAATAAATAAGCCAAAATCAAAAACAGAGGCGAACCCCCAAAACCAACCTGTGAGATTCATAACTAAATTTGGACAACAATGGAGTGAAGTTAGGAAGGCCCTGGACTCTCACTGGCATTTATTGACACAAAATCCCCAGATAGCAAGAATTGTGGGGGAGAGCCCCCAAATGGTAGCAAAAAGAGCTCAGAACCTAAATGACATTTTAGTACAGTCAGAATTTCAAAGGACCCCACAAAAAAACTGGCTAACTAGGAAGACACGCCTGCGAGGCATGTTCCCTTGTGGCCACTGTCAGGTCTGCCCATTTGTACATAAGACTAATCAGTTTTTTTAACCAAGATAGTTCTCAGGTTTTTCAGATACGTAGTTTTAATAATTGCTCCAGTAGTAGAGTAATATATATGATAGAATGTCCATGTAAGAAGATGTATATAGGAAAAACTAAAAGGAACCTTAGAACTAGGATTGGTGAAAACACCTGAGCAAGGGGTGAACACCTGGCACAACATTTTAAAGAAGTACATGGGGGAAGGACA